GCTCTTAGTTGACTCCTGACACCATGTTATATTCGTGCTTGATAAGAACCAGACGTTGTGTAATGCTCAGACACTTTTATTAAAGYATCTTTCTACAGGTCTGCTCATGCCGTTTGCTCACAGGTGTGTCATATAAGAAAATCTACTTCTATTGTTCTGTTCTTTACATTTATACATTCACGTGAACTCATGCTTGCCACCTAGTGGACATAAACATAATTCATTCAATCATGACAGTCAACAACTGTTAAAAGAACACTGTACAATTATTAACTGGAATATTTCATTGAAAACATAATTTCAGACCGACCAAAATGTGAGGGCTCAGGTACAGAACAGATTATTCCTGCTCTCGTATCCTCTTCCCCTCCTCCTTACTCCAATGGGATGACAAGGAAAGGTTAGACAAGACACAGCAAATAACTCCAATCTTCTCAATCAATGCTAGTGCCTCACCTGGTTTTGTTGCCATGTGCTCTATGGACAAAGCTCTGCTGTGAAGAATCTGATATTTTCTTCTGACTAAACCCAAGACCCTGTCAACATGAATTTGCACATTAGCTATTTCTCTAGTATCTTCCACCTCATATGCTGACAGCTGTTTTCTTTCCTCTGTGAATGGAGGTGTTTGTAGTGAAGCACAGTAAAATCCCACACTGCCGCCAACACTGAACCCATGGTCTGCTAGGACAATATCCCCAGGTAACAGATTCTTTAAGAGGCCGCTCTCTATTGTGATCTGTTCATCACTGACTCCCCCTCTCCAGGCACAAGATACATAAGTGACACAACCTTGTGGTGCAACACCAATCAGAAATTTAACAGCATGCTGATGCTTGTAGTTGGACCACGTTTGAGCTTGGGCCTGTAAATTTGAGGGCCCCTGGACAAAAACTTCAAAACGATCAACTATGACAGCAGCTTTACTTCCAAAAGCCTGTTGGAATGCCATCGGCATTGTAGTGTGAAGTACATGTCGCTCTGGCCACTCAATTAGAAACCCCAGTCTGTTATAAAGGATGTCGATTATTTTATGCCAAACTCTGGAAGCAGTGGGGAGAGATATACTGAATCTGAAAGCTAAATCTGTCAGGGAAAGATTTAGTCTCAACCTCAGCAAAACTAAAACGAACTGTTGAAATTTAGACAGCACAAACATGGGGCCACAGGTGATGTAGGGCTCGCACAGCTCGAAGGTTTGAAGTAAAACTAAGGAGTTAGGGAGCCCCGTGTAAAATTTAGCTTTATTGTCGTCGTTTTCAAAGGACTCCCGGTTGAACTGTGTATCCAGTGCTTTGGTTCGAAGATTTGTCAGTTCTGTTGTGTTCTGTCTCAGAACATCCTCCATCTTGTCAATGTCTTCCACTGTCAGCCCAGTTTGGCATCCAGCAACTCCACAGCCTGCAATATATCAGTGGGGAACAAAATTAGTTAATAAATATGAATTACAGTCTGTGAATTATTGTGAAGTTATATTTTTTATTTTATTTTAGAAACATGCAAGTTCTCTGGTCCAATTATACAGCAGGTCCACAAAGTACTGTTGTTATTTAAAAATGTACGTTTATAGATAGAGAGGCCAGGTTGAGATGGTTTGGACATGTGCTGAGGAAGGAGATATATACTGCCTGGCCAAAAACAGTCACCACCTGGATCTAACTAAGGTCTATGATGTGGGGTTGCTGCAGGTAGTCAGGTCCAGGTTCAGCAACAGTCTGTGCTCAAAGAATGAGGTCAGCTGACTACCTGAATATACTGAATGACCAGGTAATTCCATCAATGATTGTTTCTTCCCTGATGGCACGGACATATTCCAAGAGGACAATACCAGGGTTCATGGGGCTCTTATTGTGAAAGAGTGGTTCAGGGAGCATGAGACATCATTTTCACACATGGATTGACTCCACAGAGTCCACTGAGACTCTTTGGGATGTGCTGGAGAAGGTCAGACTCTACCATCATCAATGCAAGATCTTGGTAGAAAATTAAAGCAACACTGGATGGAAACAAATCTTGTCACATTGCAGAAGCTTACAGAAACAACGCCACAGAGAATGTGTGCTGTAATCAAAGCTAAAGGTGGTCCAACAAATATTAGAGTGTGTGACCTTTATTTTGGTGGCAACTTTTCTTTTGGCCAGGCAGTGTATATTGATTGTGCTGCCAGCCAGAAGGAGACGAAAACAGGGAAGGAGGACATGGAGATAATTGGTATAACAGTAGAGGAGGTAGGAGATAGGATGAGATGGAGGCAGATGATCCGCTGTAGTGACCCAAAAGACGGAAGATTAAATTAGACAAATCAATAAACATCTACTCCTCATTCTATAATAATTTCGACAGACGTCTATTTGTTTTCTTTTGTAAAACTTTTGTTAAGTTGTAAAGCAACTTTATGGACACTTTGTATCGAAAGTTTTTATTTTTATTCACTTTTATACTCTAATGCAGGGCTATTCAACTAAATCTCTCCGGAGGCCACAGTTACTGCAGGCCAACAGCTGAGGGGCCGAACATCCAGCAATTAAAGTTATTATGTAAATAAACCAAGCATTACAAAGATCTGTTACCTTTGAAATAGTTTATTTTGTTGCATTTAAACATGAATACAACATCCAGAACCCTATAAAAGGAGTGATAATTAAACAATATCAAAAACTAAAATAACCCATTCTGCCTCTTATTTAACACAAATATTATTTTGACATCTCTGACTTTCCAAATTTTTAAAACCAATTTTATTTTCAATGTCATAGTCTTATCTTCAACTGCTTGTAATTTTAACTGTCTTAAGTGTTCATAGAAATGGTTTTACCAGCTTGTAGACAAGATTCTGTTTCTGTAGATACCAAACATGTCTATGTTTAACTAAGAGAACTTGTAGTAATTAAAGTAGAAAACCGGGGGTTTGGGATAAGAGAAGAATGAACCAATTGGCGGGCTGAACTTTTGTCACTGGCGGCCCATGGGCCACCAGTTGAATGGCCTTGCTGCATTCCTGTCAGGCACGCTGCATTCATACTAACCCTCAGCATTATAATGTGGCTGTCAGGGATGGACATATGGGGGAGAAAGGCTACTAAAGTCTATTTTGAAAACCTAATTTGAAGTTAGCATAGATGTTCTGACATATCAGTTGTAATATTTACTACTAATAATAATGGTTACACATATTAATAATGTACCTGGATTATTTAATGTCCCATTTCCACGAATCCCCTCCGACTGTGGGATTGTGGGTTCAGATCCAGGCTCACCCAGTCTTATACGCGGTCTCTCACCTGTCTGTTGGAGATCCGACATCGCCTCAGCACCTTCCGACCATCTTTGTTGGTCTTCCTTTAGCTTCGTACTCTGCTCGCGTTGAACAGGTGCCTCTGATTTGGGCTTATTTCGTTGGTAGCCGAGGTTGACAGTTGGAGCCCAGTCTACTGACTCAACGTCAAACAAAGAGCTAGGGCAACCTAAAAAAAGTCCAGATGAAATCCATATTAGACCATCAGTAACTTAATCACTACTAAATAAAAGAGTATTTTACAATAGGGGTTGGCGTATCAATCTCAGAATTAAAAAGATCAATAACAACATGAGTATCAGTATCGAATCAATACTAGCATGATGATAACATTGATTACTTTGTTTGCACTAGATTTATTTTTCACAAATAAAGTGAAAAAAGGCAGTTGTGAAGAGTCTCCAAATTGTTTGAAGTTAGTCTTTAGTCCTACATCATGTCTGCATGCAGTGGAAGTTATTTTTTGTTGTGTTATTGATGTTATTAAATTCATATTTTTGCTACTACGTTGTTACTCCTTCTTCGTTATTTTGCACGTGACTTTTTGCTTCAACAATTGTGTGTAGTAGAAGGTAATAGGGGAATTATTTTATTATTTTTACATTGCTTTATCTTGTTGTAGGTAGTTAATACAAAACTAATTTATTTTCTATAAAATCTTTGTCTTGTCTTTTTATCATAGTCTACTAAGTAAAGGCAAAATCAGAACTATTCAATGAACATGACAGAAATTGGTGTCGACAATACTAGCCCAGTATTTACTTGGTATTGGATTGATACTAATATTCCTAGCATTGCTCAGCCCTATTTTACAACAACCTATTGCTAGTATGTAAACAAAGCCTACTATATGGGTCAATTTAACATAAAAATTTAGAATTGACTGGTCAGATACTCAAGATATCTTGAAAGCAAATAATGACCAGTCAGAACTAGGTTAAAGATATCTCGAACTATACTGCTGACTTGTCAAAGTTTATTTTAAAATATCTTGAATCGGACCCTCCATTCAAATGGTAAATCTGGCATCATTATCATGTAATTAGACCTCTGAAACATGTTTTGACTAGCCAAAAATAAGTTAAAATATCTTAAGTAACTATAACGTCTAATATCACAAAACAATTTCAGATATCTGGAATGTAAGCGTTGCAATTTCGATGGCCTGCCACACACACACACACACACACACACACACACACACACACACACACACACACACACACA